CTAACAAAATGTGCAAGCTCCAGCGATCCATCTGTGAACTGGTGCAAGCATCTTGGAGTTGGAATATGCGCTTTGATGAGTTGATCAAAGCATATAGTTTTATACAGACTTGCGGTGAAGCCTGTATTTGCAAGAAAGTGAGTGGGAGCACTGCGGCATTTCTGATAAGTATATGTGAATGACATATTGTTGATCGGAAATAATGTAGAATTATTCTGTAAAGCATAAAGGAGTGTTTGAAAGGAGTTTTTCAAAGAAAGACTTCGGTGAAGCTGCTTACATATTGAGCTTGATAAGTCTTTCCAATGAGTACATACCTTGACAAGATTTTGAAGTAATTCAAAATGGAGCAGTCAAAGAAAGAGTTCTTTCCTGTATTACAAGGTGTGAAGTTGAGTAAGACTCAAAGCCCAACCACGGCAGAAGATAGAAAGAGAATGAAAGTCATTCCCTATGCCTTGGCCATAGGTTCTATAAAGTATGTCATGCTGTGTACCAGATCTATTGTATACCCTGCACTGATTTGGCAAGGGAGTACAAAAGTGATCTAGGAGTAGATCACTAGACAACGGTCAGAATTATCCTTAGTGAAATAAGGATATATTTCTCGATTATGGACGTGACAAAAAGGGTTCGTCGTAAAGGGTTACGTCGATGCAAGTTTTTGACACTGATCTAGAAGACTCTAAGTCTCGGTCTAGATACATATTTAAAGTGGGAGCAATTAGGTAGAGTAGCTCCAAGCAGAGCATTGTTGACATAGAAATTTGCAAAATACATGCGGATCTGAATGTGGTAGACCCGTTGACTAAGATTCTCTCACAAGCAAAACATGATCACACCTTAGTACTCTTTGGGTGTTAATCACATAGCAATGTGAACTAGATTACTGAATCTAGTAAACCCTTTGGGTATTGGTCACATGGCGATGTGAACTATGGGTGTTAATCACATGATGATGTGAACTATCGAAGTTAATCACATGGTGATGTGATCTAGATTATTGACTCTAGTGCAAGTGGGAGACTGAAGGAAATATGCCCTAGAGGCAATAATAAAGTTATTATTTATTTCCTTATTTCATGATAAATGTTTATTATTCATGCTATAATTGTATTAACCGAAAACATAATACATGTGTGAATACATAGACAAACAGAGTGTCACTAGTATGCCTCTACTTGACTAGCTCGTTAATCAAAGATGGTTATGTTTCCTAACCATAGACAAAGAGTTGTTATTTGATTAACGGGATCACATCATTAGGTGAATGATCTGATTGACATGACCCATTCCATTATCTTAGCACCCGATCGTTTAGTATGTTGCTATTGCTTTCTTCATGACTTATACATGTTCCTATGACTATGAGATTATGCAACTCCCGTTTGCCGGAGGAACACTTTGTGTGCTATCAAACGTCACAACGTAAATGGGTGATTATAAAGGAGTTCTACAGGTGTCTCCAAAGGTAAATGTTGGGTTGGCGTATTTTGAGATTAGGATTTGTCACTCCGATTGTCGGAGAGGTATCTCTGGGCCCTCTCGGTAATGCACATCACTTAAGCCTTGCAAGCATTACAACTAATGAGTTAGTTGCGAGATGATGTATTACGGAACGAGTAAAGAGACTTGCCGGTAACGAGATTGAACTAGGTATTGGATACCGACGATCAAATCCCGGGCAAGTAACATACCGATGACAAAGGGAACAACGTATGTTGTTATGCGGTCTGACCAATAAAGATCTTCGTAGAATATGTAGGAGCCAATATGGGCATCCAGGTCCCGCTATTGGTTATTGACTGGAGACATGTCTCGGTCATGTCTACATTGTTCTCGAACCCATAGGGTCCGCACGCTTAAGGTTTCAATGACAGTTATATTATGAGTTTATGAGTTTTGATGTACCGAAGGAGTTCGGAGTCCCGGATGAGATCGGGGACATGACGAGGAGTCTCGAAATGGTCAAGACGTAAAGATCGATATATTGGACGACTATATTTGGACATCGGAAAGGTTCCGAGTGATTCGGGTATTTTTCGGAGTACCGGGTAGTTACGGGAGAAGCAATGGGCCTTGATGGGCTTTAGTGGGAAGAGGAGAAAGGGCCAAGGGGCTGCTGCGCCCCCCCTCCCCTCTGGTCCGAATTGGACTAGGGAAAGGGGGGCCGGCCACCTTTCCTTCTCCTCCACTTCCTTCTCCCTTCCTCCCCTCTTGGTGGACTCCTACTAGGACTTGGAGTCCTAGTAGGACTCCACATCCTGGCCGCACCAAGCCTTGGCCGGCCTCCTCCTCCTCCATCCTTTATATATTGAGGCAAGGGGCACCCCATAGACACACAAGTTGATCCACGTGATCTTATTCTTAGCCGTGTGCGGTGCCCCCTTCCACCATAATCCTCGATAATATTGTAGCGGTGCTTAGGCGAAGCCCTGCAACGGTAGAACATCAAGATCGTCACCACGCCGTCGTACTGACGGAACTCTTCCCCGACACTTTGCTGGATCGGAGTCCGGGGATCGTCATCGAGCTGAACGTGTGCTAAAACTCGGAGGTGCAGTAGTTTCGGTGCTTGATCGGTCGGGCCGTGAAGACGTACGACTACATCAACCGCGTTGTGCTAACGCTTCCGCTGTCGGTCTACAAGGGTACGTAGATCACACTCTCCCCTCTCGTTGCTATGCATCACCATGATCTTGCGTGTGCGTAGGAAATTTTTTGAAATTACTACGTTCCCCAACAACATATACCTTTGGAGACACCTGTAGAGCACCTTTATAATCACGCAGTTACGTTGTGACGTTTGGTAGCACACAAAGTGTTCCTCCGGTAAACGGGAGTTGCATAATCTCATAGTCATAGGAACATGTATAAGTCATGAAGAAAGCAATAGCAACATACTAAACGATCGAGTGCTAAGCTAACGGAATGGGTCATGTCAATCACATCATTCTTTTAATGATGTGATCCCGTTAATCAAATAACAACTCTTTTGTTCATGGTTAGGAAACATAACCATCTTCGATTAACGAGCTAGTCAAGTAGAGGCATACTAGTGACACTCTGTTTGTCTATGTATTCATACATATATTATGTTTCCGGTTAATACAATTCTAGCATGAATAATAAACATTTATCATGATATAAGAAAATAAATAATAACTTTATTATTGCCTTTAGGGCATATTTCCTTCACTAGTTATCCTCACGTACATGTGTATGGTGAATTGAGCATAGTTCAGATGGTTGGATTTCTTGTGGTGGAACCAGCTCACCAGAGGTTAAGTCATACACTTTGCACTAGTGTTTGCATTTTTCTGGATTAATTTTAGGCTTTTCTGCAATGCTTGTTTAATGGGAGGAGATATTCTCATAGTCAATCTTAACATGTTCTGCCGGTATTCAAAAGAATGAGTGTATGTGCGTGTATGTAAGCATCTTTGTATGTACTGTGTTAAAAACATACTATGTGTATGACCGAGTGTATGTGTTTGCACATAGATGTTACAGTATTAGGTAAGACTCAAGTAGAACCTTTTTTATGGCAATTTATATTTAGTTGGTAAGCATGACAAATCTGTTTCAGTTTTTTTTCTCAAAAATTTACAGTGTTTGTAAATTAAATTGGTCATCCCCACACAACCATAAATTGCTATAAAAGACTGGATTTGTCATGTTTAAAATCCGACATCATAACAACCAGACGACTCTATGTCTCCTTCCTCCTCCCGTCGGTGTCGCCGCCGGTCCGCCTCGCCTCCGATGGGCTTTGGGCCATCGAGGTGTGGAGGATCTCGGGCCACCGCCGACGGGAGGGACCCGATCTCGTTTTTGTTAAGTTCAACGTTTTCGTTGGGGCTGTGTGGCTGTGGTGATGTCCCTCAGTAGGAATAATGTCTTTCACGTTCGATTTTCCGTCCCTATGATGCGCATAACATTATCTTTTTTTGAACACAGTACAGACGCAAGCGCTCATATAAACACGCATACACTCACCCGTATGAACGCACACACGCACACCCTATCCTTATGAGCACCTCCGAGAGACTGAGCCGGCATATCATCTTGAGATTTTACGAAGTCACCGTAGGCGCCTCGTAGTCGACGGGAACGTCTCCTCCCACTGAAAGCGTATCACCGAAATTCCTGAAATAAATCCAGAAAAAATGCGAGCACCAGGATTTGAACCCTGGTGGGTTGGGGATACCAGTGTCCACCTAACCATCTCAACCAGAGGTTGGTTCGCGATGCGCATAACATTATCGGATGGCGTGTGAATATATCTGGCCATGGGCCGGGCCGGGCTTGGGCCGGGCCTAAAAAAGCCCATGGCAGAAAACTGAGGCCCAGGCCCTCCCAGGCCCTACCATCGGGCCTACTTTTCAAGCCCAAGCCCGACCCATTTGGTAAAAAGCCCTTAGGGCTTAGGGTCGTGGGCTGGGCCTCTTTCTTAAAATGTCAATATGCTAAGCCCAAGCCCGCCCAGGCCCTGCTGGTGGGCTCAAAACTCAGACCCAAGCCGGGCCCACGGTCAAGCCCATCGGGCCTAGGCCCTGGATTTTAGGGCCGGGCCTGGGTGGGCCAACAGGGCCGGGTCTGAGATGGCCAAGACTACGTGTGAAGGTGTGTATTTGTCGAATCTCGCGAGATTCGGTAGGTGCTGGTCTTTGATGGATCTATTTGGATTCAGTTTTCGTTCGTCTTCATCGGCGATGCTTGCTGCTCTGGTGCGCTGGTTTTTTTGGGGGCCTTAGCACGATGATTTTTTAACTGTCTACGGCAATAAGGTTTGTCTGGTTTCGATGAGGGAGAGGCGGCGATGATGACGACACGCCTTCAACTCACTCCCATACTTATGGTTATCGTTAATCTGACCTCAGTTAAAAAAACTTAGTAAACACGTGACAGTCGGTAAAATATGTGATTCCGGTAGTGTTCGCGTGGCCAATCGCGCAACCGCCAGATTGGTTCCGACGTGAAGAAGAGACCAGGGATCCATGGAGGCAGCTGCCGCAGCCCGCGAGGTCCCGCGCCTGCCGGAGGAGCTCCTCGCGACGATCATCTCCCTCACGTCGCCGCAGGACGCCTGCCGCGCGGCCGCCGTCTCCCGGGCCTTCCTCGCCGCCGCGGACTCCGACACCGTCTGGTCCGGCTTCCTGTCCCGCGACCTCCCGCAGCTCGTCGCCGAGGGCGAGCTCCCCCGCGCGCCGCCGTCCAGGAAGGCCCTGTTCCGGCGCCTCTCTGTCACCCCGGCCCTCCTGCCATGCAAGCTCGTTGTACGCATCGATAACAGACTCCCCGTGCCCTCTTGATTTCTCTCCTCGTTTCCGCTTGATCGGAATCGGCTGACGATGAACTAATCCCCCGTACCGTTCGTTCGTTCGTTTCTTTGGCGCGGAGCATGCGGCTGGAGGTGAAGCAATTCTAACCAGATCATGTGCTGAATGAGGCATATATACCCTCAATCGGCATGCCTGCTCTTGCGCTTCTCTATGCTGGCCTTGATTGTGTGGTTGTCTGCCGGAATGATTGTTCCAGAAATTTGTTGTTTGGACTAACCTTGTTGTCTGGATTGATCCAGAACTTTGCACAGCAATTTGTAACTCAACTTTCGTTGTTAACCAAATGTAAGTGCATCGATCTGTATAATCTACTTGGTGTGGATGTACATGCCAAAACTCAAAAGCACATGTATCTATCTAAAGATTGTTCATAATTTATTTTTCAGGTATCTGTTATCATTTCGAAATGAATGCATGGGGTACGGGCAGGCTGGCTACTGCAGCTGTACAGGCATTGCAACAGTAAGAAAAGCCCTTTCTTGTACTCCCTCCGTTCCGAATTACTTGTTATCTAAATGTATTTTAGTTCTAGATACATCCATTACTGCGATGAGTAATTTGGAACGGAGGGAGTACAAATCAAGTAATCAATGCTACTGTATGGATGAGGTCAATGACGGAGATTTCATTTAGCTCACCTAATAGCAATGTTAGAGTTCCCTGCCAAGTCTATTGTGCGTTCTCATAGTACAGAGGATGAGTTTTTTTTTTTCAACTGAAGAGGATGAGTTTTTGTAAACGCATTTTTTTCCTACTAAATTCGACGAAAAATTGGCAGCATGGCAGTGCTAACAGTAGTAGTTTCTCCGAGGGAGATCAGTTTCTTACTTTCGTTAAATGATAATATTCATCCTGAAGATCATTGGCCCTCTCAAATTATTTTTCCATTTATATTGTTTCTACATCTATTGAAAGGTGAGTTAACAGGAACGATAGATAGATGATTTGCCGTACACTACCCCTAGGGCTTTATCTTCCATAGACACTAGTACATGGCTAAAACTTGTGTGTGAAGCTATGATCACACGAGATCAATTTAACAGATTTTAGAATTTCTAATATCACGGGCGCCAAGTGCTTCCTGCTCTCGGCGAGGGCGCTGCATATCTCGCGGGGCGAGACGCCCTCCTCCTGGCAATGGATCCACCTCCGCGGCGACGAGATCCAAGGAAACGAGAGGTTCGATCGAGTCGAGCCTCCTTTTCGATTGTGGTGTTTTGGGGGCCAATTAGTTTTCCATTGGATTTTTCTTTTCACGGTAAGTTTGATATACTACTAGTATAACACATTGCTATGAGATGACATGAATATATTAATCATTACCGGTGAATATCCAATTAGGCTTTCGAGCTCATCTACACCCTCTAGACAGTAAATTTAAAAAGATACAGAAAAATTCTAAAAAAAATCAGGTGAAAGATAGTTGAGTATGTGTTGTGCCAAGTTTCGGCTCATTTTGACAATATGAGTAGCTCTCACCAAAAAAAAATCAGATCTGAGGAGCGCAAAACAGTTAACTTTTTCACAAATCCCAAATTTGTCTTTTTGCTGAGAACTTGTCAGATGTTCAAATGCACTAAACTTTTGCACGGACATAACAAACTCAAGCATCTTTCATCACAAAAAATAGATTTTTAAAATTTTGTTTACTATTTTTGGTGGGTTCGCTGTTCACTTCCGGGCTCATCTGAGCCCGGGAGCCAAAATGCCCGGTCCTCATTACCACAAACTTCTTTGGCAGGTTCTTGGAAGCAGCCAGGCTCCGCAAGGTTTCGCGGTTGGAAATCCGTGGGAAGATGCGCGCAATGTAGGATGCTCTCGCAGAACTCGGCGTACGCCGCTTACATGGTGTTCAAGTTGGCAGATAGTGGGTTCAACAAGCTGGATTTTCCGTTTCAGGTGGCATCAGTCAGCATTGGATGGATCCATTCAACACGGCAAGTTTGCCTTCAAGGCTACATGGAAGTTGGGGATGACGGAGTGACTCACAAAAATATTTGGAGGTCTAGCCGGGAGGAAAAATGGGGACCTTGCAAGCGCAGTCGCGTTACTGGAGCAATTCATCTCACAGACAACATTGTGCTCCCTCGGAGAAGGGCTAACGGCTGGATGGAGGTCGAGTTGGGTGAGTTCTACAACGAGGAAGACGACGATGAGGTGTCTGTCAGCCTGATGCAGACAACAGGAGGAGTACAAGAGTGGTCTTGTTGTGTTGGGTGTCGAGGTTAGATCTAAGCAATGATGTGGACGAGCTTGTAAGATCGACCAAATGAGGGTCGTCGCACTTTTTCCTACATAGAAAACATTAGTTACTTACTATGCATCTACTGTATTGAAAATAAGGTTATGAAAAGATACGCCAGTTTGAATTGTTGCAAGCAAGACCTTCATTAACAAAAACCTATGTTGTTGAAAAGTGCATGTCTGCAGGATAGTTGCAGTTTTGCTATTTATCAGGTACCTGGAAATTGTTTCAGCCGTCAATCGCCTCTTCCTTCCTTCCTTCCTTCCAACCTCACCAGAGTAGAAAAAACCTCGTCGGAGAAGCCATTGCCCCACCATCTATCTTAGGGTGGTGGAGGTCGGTGGTTAGGGCAGGGCAGGTCAGGCGCATCGCAAGGAGGACGAAGGGCGTTGCGAGGATGAAGAAGATAAATAGTGCCTTTATTTGTTTACAACAGTTGGTTGGGAATCGGATGGTGCATAAAGAAAGTGACTGGCACTAGATCTTTTTTCAGGTGCCTTAGTCTGTCCCGATAGTTGCTATTTGTAACCTTGTTTTCTTTATCTATTTTCCTCTCGACCTCTGCATTGACTCATGCATGAAAACAGTTTGTTACTCTATGTTCTTTAGATGATGATGGAGGGTTTTATTATTCTTTTTTTTTGAAACTATCACCGGGGGGAAGACTCCCCACCTGAATATATTTCGAAAAAAATAGTTCAGACAAGACGAGAGGTGAAAAAATCCCGCCACAATCCGGCGTGGATTTTTTTATCCGCCTTTTAAGGCGGTGGGACCAAAGAGTGAGATCAGAGATAATAGCCCTAATTACACTATACGGAGAAGGGGACAAGTCCCTAAAGGTTTTGTCGTTGCGAGCGTCCCAATTTTCCATAATATGAGTAGCAAAATGAAAGGCCAGATTGACTGAGGTAGGCCATCCTGAACCGGCGCATTCCACAAGTCAGGAAGGGGAGAGTGACGGGGAAGCAGCCCTATGCATGGCACCCCAAATGGAGGCAGCCGTTGGGCATGTGAAGAAGAGATGAGCACGGTCTTCTGGCGCGGCATTACAACATGGGCACGATGGAGAGTCGATGATGGTCTTGCGATGGAGATTTGCCTGCATGTTTAACCTGTCCAGATAGAAAAGCTAGCCAAGCACTCAAACCCTACTAGGAACACGAGAGTCACAGATGTGGGTAAGAGATGGATCCGATAGTTGGGGAGCAAGAGCAACATAAGCGCCCTTAGTGGAAAAAGCGGCGCCGTTAAGCAAGGACCTATCGTCGGGTACTCCTGTAAGGCACACTCCCTGCAACAAAGATCTCAAGGAAACAAGTTCATTGGTAGTGGTTACGGTTAGCCGGCTACGCAAGCCGAGTTCAATCCCATCCATCATAATTTTATCAACAAGAGTGTTAGGCTTAGTATGTTGTGTAAACAAGGCAGGGAAGGCAATGGAGAGTGGTTCTAGCAGGAGCCAACGATCAAGCCAGAAAAAGGTTGAGGAACCATTGTCAATAGTAACCTGGGGAATGATAACCCACAAGTATAGGGGATCGCAATAGTTTTTGATAAGTAAGAGTGTCGAACCCAACGAGGAGCTAAAGGCAGAACAAATAACCCCTCAAGTTCTATCGACCACCGATACAACTCTGCGCACGCTTGACGTTCGCTTTACCTAGAACAAGTATGAAACTATAAGTACTTTGTAGGTGTTGTTGGATAGGTATGCAAGATAATAAAGATTACGTAAATAAAAAGTAGGGGCTGTTTAGATAAAGACACAACTAAGTTAGGTTTAGTAGAGAGTTTGTTGTTACGAGAAAGTTATTTGTTCCTAGGCAATCAACAACTAGACCGGTAATCATTATTACAATTTTATTTGAGAGAGAGGCATAAGCTAACATACTTTCTCTAGTTGGATCATATGCACTTATGATTGGAACTCTAGCAAGCATCCGCAACTACGAAAGATTCATTAAGGTAAAACCCAACCATAGCATTAAAGCATCAAGTCCTCTTTATCCCATACGCAAACAACCTACTTACTCGGGTCTGTGCTTCTGTTCACTCACGCCACCCACCATAAGCAAATCATAAGCATATTGCAACACCCTACAGCGGGAATCCCTCATGCTTGCGTGACACGGAGAGCACCATAGGACAGCACCAATAATAAAACATGCAACTCAAACCAATCTTGATCATCAAATAGCCATTAGGACAAAACGGATCTACTCAAACATCATAGGATAGCCATACATCATATGGAAATAATATATAGCGTTGAGCACCATGTTTAAGTAGAGATTACAGCGGGTAAGAGAGAGGTTACACCGCTGCATAGAGGGGGGAAGAGTTGGTGGTGAAGGCGGTGAAGTTGTTGGTGAAGATGACGGTGATGATGATGGCCCCCGGTGGCACTCCGGTGCCACCGGAAGCAAGGGGGAGAGGGGCCCCCTTCTTCTTCTTCTTCTTCTTCCTTGACCTCCTCCCTAGATGGGAGAAGGCTTTCCCCTCTGGTCCTTAGCCTCCATGGCGTGGGAGGGGCGAGAGCCCCTCCGAGATTGGATTTGTCTCTCTGTTTCTGCGTTCTCTCCTGGCTCTGTTTCACCGTTTCATGTATATATGGAGATCCATAACTCCGATTGGCCTGAAACCTTCGCCGTGATTTTTTCCGAAAATTAGCTTTCTTGCGGCAAAAGAAGAGCGTCAACCGCCTTACGGGTGGCTCATGAGG